CAAATGTTGGCCTTGCACAGGGCGCTGCTGAAATCTGAAAGACCAAAGTCTGCCCCTGATAGTATCCTTCTGAGCCAACTTAGTGAGAAGGATATTTGAGGCACTGCTTTACAGTGGTTCCAATTCTACCTCCAGGGTTGCTTTCAGAAAATAGTATTAGGTGATTGACATTTGGCCCCCTAGTAGCTGGGCTGTGGGGTGCCACAGGCGACCACCTTGTCCCCAATGCTGTTTAACATATATTTGAATCTGTTGTGAGTGGTCATTAGGAGATTTGAGGTGATATGCCATCAGTATGCTGATGTCACCCAGCTCTATTTCTCTGTACCATCTGAGTGAGGAGAGGCCATGCAAGCCTTGGACTGGTGCCTAGACTCAGTGGCAGACTGGATGAGGGCCAACAAACTGATTCTGATTCCTGACAAGACAGAGGCACTATGAGTGGGTGGTTCCCAAGTTTACTGTAGAATATATAATCAGTTAATTGCCTCCAAGGCCTTGCTCCACTTGGCCTTCTGCATAGGCCATGCAGCTGTGCATACTATTATCTCCCTTTCCCCTTCTTGTGAGGTCTCCTGCTTTCATGGAGATGGGCTGTCCGGCCTGTCACCTGAGGGACGCAGTTGTTGCTTCTTGTTCCACCACTCTTACTTGTTCTCTCAGAATCTCTCAATGGAAGTGCTGCACCCCTAAACTGAGGTCATGGGAAATGCGTATTCTCATAATATTCTGAGCATTGAAGCCGAAATCTGCATATTTTCATAAAGTAGTTAAAGCAAGCAAGTGTCAGTGTTTGTCTGGTTTGCTGGAATCAGTGATTTGTAGTAGGAATTGAGTTCCTTTATAGTTCATGAATTATCAACATTTGAATGTTTGTTTAAGGTTGTCTTTCCAGTAGTTATAGAGCATGACAATAGTGTGAAAGAAAGAAAGAAATGCGCAGTGGGAAGTTGTTGTTTTTGTGTGTAAGCAAACACTATTTCTTGCCTGTTGCCAGCTTACCCATTCACAGAAGTTAGCACTAGCTGTGTCATTCAAACTGATGAAGCGTGGTTGTTAATCCATCACTTCCCTACCATTTATCCAAAGGAAAACCCGCCATATCCCCCCCCCCCCCCGCACACCATATTATGCTGTGTGAGTTTGGGATAGCTCAGTTGGTGGAGTAGGAGCCTCTTAATCTCAGTGACATGGGTTCAAGCCCCACATCGGGCAAAAGATTCCTTCATTGCAGGGGGTTGAACTAGATGACCCTCATGGCTCCTTCCAACTCTGCAATTCTGTGATTCTATGAATGCATTGTTTTCTACAGTTCTTCCTGGAGGCTGTCCATAATATATTTGGGGACTGATATAAGGCAGGAGGATGAACCTCCTGCACTGGGTGCAGTGCCTAAGGAGAGCATGCTGGGTAGGTTGGTTGGAAGTGGCACATTAATCTCTCTCATGGGGCTTGCAGCCCACCCAATACGGCCTGCTATAAACTGAAGCTCACTTGAGCATGCTGTAATGGAACAAGAGTCAAACTCAGTATTACAAATAATTCAGAGACAGCGGTTAAGAATGAATCACCTAGTATTGTCACTCTGTGCTGCTGGCCATGCTGGCTGGGGCTGACAGGTTTTCCTGGGGACAAATGAAAATCCTCTCAGACCTGTGCTTGGCAGTCACAGGACAAATAGAAGAAATCACAACCCCAACAGCAGTGTGGATGAGCCCTCCCCAAGTGTTATGTACTGAGTTGAATAGGATCCAAAATGCAGCAGTCTGATTGGTCCACAGGAGCCACCCAATCCAGCTCCAGGTGGAAGTGAATCCGCAACCTGATTGGCCTACAGGAGAATCCCGGAATTAGCCAATCACATGCAGCCCATTGTGTAAATAATGTATATAAAGCAGACATTCTGGGGGAACTTCCATTCCTCCTCACCACTATGAGCTGAATAAAGAGCATGAAATCCACTCTCGACTCTGAGTATATTTCACTAAGTGTCTTATGCAGGTTGCAGCTCACAGCCCATTTACTCACCAGGCTGCTGCTAAAATAAGCAGCATGTGAATATAATATCTGGGGATGCCTGAATATTATTGTGAATTGCTTTTTATATTTAGTATATTCTGTTGATTCCTATAATATTTTTGAACATTTTAGTTAGGAAAGGTAAAAATGGGTTTTCCCTAACACATATTGCTATTTGCATACTCTGCCTATGATTAAGTGGCCATAAGCTACACACACACACACACACACACACACCTGTGTGTGAGAGAGTATGTATTTGATCTGCTACTAAAAACATCATTCCTCTTTTTTTTCCATATACGTCCAGAGCACAGATAAAATAGTTACATCCACTTTTCCTTCCATTTGTACAGAGTGCTAAAAATACAACAGAATGGTAATTGAACCACTCTTTCAATGACATAAATAGGCTTTTTCATGGCATTTTCACAGCAATCAATATCTCTGATTCATTTGCTGCCCTCCCAGTGCACCCATAATTCCTATAATTTTCGCATTTCCTTCAGAGTAGCCAAGATATTTGTCATGAACGCTGAGTTTGGATTGTGTGATCTGTTTAAAAGATAAAAATGTGGAGCGCTTAAAACAGATAGGCAGGTTTTTATTTGTCAAATGTGATTTCAATGCATGGCCTAGGAAGCAAGCTGGTCGTCTTATCTGGTTTTTACAGTGTCCCCTATTTAGCCAATCTGTCATAAAGACACCTCTGATTTGAACTGGTCAGACTGACTGAGACAGCCTTCTACACAATTTCCTTGGGATGCTGCCGTCAGCGGGGAGGAAGACGCTATTTGTACAGTTACAAAATAAAGAGCTTGTCAGTGGTCTATGAAGGAGAGATTTATTTAGCAAAATAAATGTTTCCATTTCCAGGGACAATGGGTGATATCTAATTCCTGTACTTATCATTGTAGCAACTGTGGAGGCAGCCATTGATGGAAAATGAGGCGAGGTGATTTTCGCCAATTTCCCCTTGCCCTGGAAACCCCCAGCACTCCCCCAAATCTGCTCTGGGGGATTTGGGGGGTGGGTTTCAAGAACAGATTTGAGATGTGTGTGCTGGAGACTGCTGAAGGGAAGAGGATCAGCAACATTCATCTGTTCTGCAGTTCAAAATGCAGATTAGGATAGGAAATCAGTGGGCTGCTGGGACCCCTGGCCAACCTGAAATTGGGTATGAGTTGCAGCAGAGAAGAGTGAGTTCTGAGGATCTCAGGTATGCAGGGAGAAGTGGATTTGTACAATTTTAAACTATACTACCAGTTCCTCTGCGCTGCAGAAATGTGGGAGTACTGTAGAACTTAATCCAGAACAAGATCATAAGAACAATATTAGGTGTGCCCAGATGCACGCCTTTAGATTTCCTAAGCAATGAAGCTTGAATTCTTCTGGTACAAATTAAGGCTCTGTTGTTATTTTTGAATTTCTAAATTACTATTGACACTAAAAGAAAGACTTCAAAAAATGTATCAGAGAGCAGAAGTTTAATTCTATCTGTCTACATCAAATGCCTATCAGAGCTTAGTGTAGATAATTCACTAATGTAATTTCAATAATATATTTTCATTGATCTAAAACATTTGTTCCCAGAAAAAAAATCATAAGAGGAATTAAAGATGTGTGAATATGACATGATTTCTCATTTCTGACCATCATTCATTTTATCACTAATCAAGAGCAGTCCTGGCTACAGATAGTTCAGTAATGTAGCCTAGAGGATATAGAGTCAAGGATAATGGTCAAGTAGGTCTAAATTAGAGGTGGTGGAGAAACTCATCTCTCCTAATTCACACTTAACCAAAACAGTGCACAAACAGAAGCAAAGCTGGTGCCAAATATATTGCTTTGTTTTCCTTTGGACTATATCACCGAGGCTGAGAGAGGGGTCTTTTAATCAGGGTATCTCAGGACTTCCATACACACTTCCCAGGCTTTCACCCCAGAAAGGTCACTTTGGTCCTGCAATTGCAGCAAAAAAGCAACAAACAGGGGAGGCAGCAGTGAACTGTGCTGCAAAATTTTGCAGTCTTTTGGATTTTGTGATGCAGTATTCCAAAAGGTATGCATCTGGGGAAAGTGTGAATAAAAATGAATATATTATTGAAAATAGCATACCTTGATACCATTTACAGTGGTGCCTCGCAAGACGAAATTAATCCGTTCCGCGAGTCTCTTCGTCTTGCGGTTTTTTCATCTTGCGAAGCACGGCTCTTAGCGGCTTAGCGGCTATTAACGGCTTAGCAGCTTTAAGAAAAAGGAAACAAACTCGCAAGAACTCGCAAGACGTTTCGTCTTGCGAAGCAAGCCCATGGGGAAATTCGTCTTGCGGAACGACTCAAAAAACGGAAAACCCTTTCGTCTAGTGAGTTTTTCATCTTGCAAGGCATTCGTCTTGCGGGGCACCACTGTATTAGACAATGGCTACATGCAACCATTGCTTTATCAGGAGAAATGCGCAGTAAAATGGAGGTTATTTTTTCTGAGGATTAAGCATTGCAAACTGATGCAGAAATGTAGTGAACTTGAATTTAAGAATGGAAAAATGAGAAGCCAAAATTTTCAGATTTGTCCATCCCTATGCCTGATTATAGTTTTTAACAGAAAACCTCCAGAAGGATCCTTAACCTATGAGCTACTGCACCACACTCCCACAGTTAATGCATAAAAAGCATTTGTTGATGTGCATGTGGTACTGTCCCCTGCTGTTACTGTGGCACAGGTGTGCTTTGCTGCAATATTCCATCTGGACCAGTGTGACCACAGCATCCTTATAAGAAGATCTTCATTCTAATGGCCCATCATACAATCCTGCTCTAGCCAGTTGTTAAAGGGCACACATAGGTTCAGAGTTCTTCATTGCTCTATGCACTTAATACTTTTAAAATAAAATATAAAGTTCACCGAGATTAATGGATGCAGTTTAGGAAAGAAACTGCAGAGAATTATTAAGGCAATATTTGTTGCTGTTGTTTTTCTAGGTGTCAGAAGAAACACTGTACTCGCACGATGAAGCGGATGGGGCTCCTCAAGGAATGGACCAATATCGTGTCAGGAGACTTTCCTGCCGTAATCTCCAGCTTCCCCCTTTGGCCTTCAGGCAGCTGGAGCAGGCAGATTGGGACAGAAAGGGTGATCCAGAGACGGTGCCGAGGCCCACCAGCCTTCCGCTGAGAACTCTCCCACTAATTGCTATCACAGCTGCAGAGACTGTCAGGTAAACATTGATTTGGAACCCTGCTTCTGCTTCTGTTCGGCTGCTGAGAGACTGCGTTCTGGCAGCCGATGTCCTGGGTCCCTGTGATTAAAATGTTTGGCTCTTAATCACGGAGCGAATTAAGGCAGCTATAATGGAGAGCGTATTGAAGACAGGTTAATAAGATGGCAGTTCTATACCCATTGTTTTCATAGTAGTGGCAGAAAAAATAAGGCAAATGTGTGATGTGAATAGCACAGCTGATACCAAGCAGTCCCTCTGCTAATACCGGGACTGTCCAATCTTATTGGCTGAAGAAGAAGAAGAAGAAGAAGAAGAAGAAGAAGAAAGTGTATTTCAGCCTTCTCTCTGTGAGGAAGGCACTGGGGGCTCCTGTACTTTACTGCATAGTGATTTGGAAGCAATGGAAGGGTTGAAAAGAAACACATGACTCCATCTTTGAATTGGCAGCTATTCTGGATTTTGATGCTGTGGCTGAATCTCATTCAGTATTTCCCAAACTTGAATCTCCAGCTGTTGTTGGACTACAACTCCCATCATTCCTAGCTAGCAGGACCAGTGGTCAGGGATGATGGGAGTTGTAGCCCAACAACAGCTGGAGACCCAAGTTTGAGAAACACTGATATAATTGGTTGCAAGACTATGAGACATCATGTTGCTTCCATGATCCCTGATAGGCTGTGATCACCTCAGAGAAAAGAAGCCTGGGAAGGACTATTATAACCACAGATGTGGAGGGTAGATAGACATCCCACATGCACATACCCACCCACCAGTGTTGCTGTAAGCATTCAAGCACCAGAAAACTTAGGGCATAACTTAGAGCTAAATACACAGCAAGGCCAGGTAGCTGCTGATGTGGCTACTTCTAGCTAGAAGCTATGCATCTATGGTGGCCTGTTTCCCCCAACACCCATTTATGGACCTGGATATGAGCTGCTGTGGTTGCAGCTATTTTGATAAGTCACAAAAGTGTTGGTGGTTGTTGCAGGAGCTCTAAAAAATGTGAGCTCTGGGCTTCCAGATAGCTCACGTGCTTTCTAAGCTCAGCATCTTGCATCTGTGCTAGAGGTGGGAGGAAGTGCTTTCAGCACAGCACCGGGAACCTATCCATCATACTGGAAGATTCCTGGAACCATGACATGGATGAGATAGTTGGAATGTGAAAACATTCACCCAAGAAGCTTGATTTCATGCATTACATATGAGGCAGCTGCGTTCCGAAACCGATCAATATAGAGTCGAAATGTCTAAGAAAATGTCATAGATCGACGACAGAAAATATCATGAGCCTCTGACGAGACTCATGCTTGCATCGCACCTGGAAGAGGAGATGTGAAAGTTTGCCTAAAATGTTTCCCAAAGTAATGAAAAAGGGGGTGTTATTGTTAGTAGATATGCTTGCTGGTGCTCACTGCTGTTTTGTAGGCTTATGTACTGGAATGGGATAGCTGGTGCATGAGAGGTTTCTCACAGCAGGTAGATCTCAGCAAGACATAAAAAAGAACACCATTGTCCTGCCTAACAAGCTTTGTTCAGACATCATGCTCATTTAATTTGGTTTTGATTTACTAGGAAATAAATTTATAAATGAGATCAAGGGGGGAAAGAAAAGAAGAAAGTAATAATGCTGCATTGCACAAACAAACAACCCAACAGAAGCAATTACTGTTGTGCCTGTTTCTTTTCAAAAGCTATAACCTTTATTTCTTTACTGTGGAAAATTAAATGTTAGATGCATGAATCATCTTTGCACTTGCCACACACACACACACACACACACACACACACACACACACAGTATATACAATATGTACAAGAAGGTATCCTCAGTAGTCCCAATATGCATCTGTAATCTGAAATTCTGTGTGTGGACCACCATCTCAGGAGTCTTGAAAAATCCATGTATTATATGGAAACTTGAAGGCTTTCATAAGGCTACAAAGATCTTTGTGTCTTTGATGTTGTGAAAGAAAACTTAATGTGAGCATGGGTGAAAAGTTCACTTAGAAACCTGAAACGCAAGGGGACTGAGCAATTCCAAGACTAGTGCTATCAAGATGATTCACACACCAGTGTTTTTGCTCACACGATAACTGCAACTATAATGCAATAATTTGGTTGAATGAAATAGCTATCAGATCAGCTGTCACTTAGGGAGTTTTCTAGCGACACTGCATTTTCTAATGATGGAGTTTTCTAATGACCGAGAACCCTGCCAAAAATAAAAAATATGTAACATATAGTCTCTCTAGACCGAAGTATCAAATGTGGTACCCTCCAGATATTGCTGAACTCCAACTCCCATCCTCTTGGATCATTGGCCATGCTAGCTGGGACTGATGGGAGTTGACGTCCCACAACATATGGAGATCCTCAGATTCCCCAGCCCTGCTCTAGATGATTAGTGATAGTATGAAATGACTCTTTATAAAACAGGAGACACTTTCAATGAATAGATTCTAATAATTACATATTTTGCCTTTTCGTGTGGTCATCACATAGCAATTCCACTGTCTGTAGTTCCCATCATGTGTTGGGTGCCTTCGTAATGTTACGATCAGTCCACTATTCCAAGCGGTGTGACATTAAAGGTGTGTACTACTTGCCTGGGTTTGGTTCCTTTTGGAAGGAAGTCGCTGTTGGCTTGTTGCCTTTGTGGTTGTTTTTAAATGTAAAGTACTGGTTGAGCATAGGTGAAAGCAGTTAGATTATGCATTCCCACATAGCTAAAGGCTACTGTTTCTGTATAAGACCTCCAGGGAGGCAGTCTGCACATCAAGACACTTAAGACTCAGCTTTCTGTGTCTGTCTTTACACATTCTGCCTCAAACCGCAGTATTACCCTCTAGTCCTCTTCACAGATACCAGGCCTCCTCCCTCTGGTTAAGGAAGTGGTGTGGAAGAGGGAGGGCAGGCTGTCATTAAGGTATTTGTGGAAACTTGAGGGAAGTATTCTAACACTGGCTCCCATCAAAGAATGTGCCAGGTGAAACCTGACTGGCAGGTTTCAGGTCTATTATCCCTCTCTGTCTAGGAGCTGAAGGTGGAATAAACTGCAGAACAATCCTGTAAGGTAGGTTAGGCAGAGAGAGATTGTGACTGATCCATGGTCACATGGTCAACTAAGAAGGGATTTGGACCTGGAGCTTCCGGGTCCTAATTCAGCCCTCTAACCACAAATCCCATGTTTGCATAGATCATAGTACCTAGGCCTAGACAAACGGGATCTAAATGGTTTAGGACTTAACAAGTCAAAAGCCTTCACTTCTTCCAGGAAACCAACTGGATATCAATGCAGCTTCTTAAGCAGTGGTATCATGTACTACACATGCCCTGGTCAAAGGCACCACATTTTATTATATTTCTACTGGATGGAATTCCCAGGCAGCCTTCGAGGGCAGCCCTACCCACAGCACAGAAATCTGGAAGCTGCCTTGCAATGTCTGACAACAACAAAATTGCAGTAAAACGCACACACAATCCCACTTCTTGGCCCCCAGCATCCTGGAGGGATTTTGTTGCTGTTGAAAAAAATATAATTAATAAATAAAATCCACTCTTCTTTAGTCCATTCTCTTATCCACAGACAGGTGTTTATCTTTAAATTTTGTTGTTATCTGACCCGACCACCCCTTCAAAATGCTATTTTCAAATTCAGGAATACAACTGAGATGGGGTGCCACCAGGTTGCTTTCAAAGCCTTTTCCTTGGTGTTGCAATAAGGGCTGTTTTCACAGTGATCTTTCTGCTCAAGCACAGTGTGATTGATTTAATCTGATGTGAAATGTCTCGATAATGAGATGTCAGCTGAAACAACAGGAGAACTTAAAAGTGTGTTTGGAAACAACTGAGATGTGGAGGAAAGCACTTGCATAACTCTTGGATGTTTGGGTGTATTATATACTCAAGTGGTTGTTTTTTTTATCTGGGTGCCTATCAATAAGCAAATGGTTTAAAATGATACTTTTAAAGTTGTTTATTTTATTTCTGGCCAGTTGTGCTTGGTTTTCTAATGTTCCATTTTGGCATTTTTGTTTTGAAGATGACCAATGCATGAGGAATTTCTGAACAAGATACCGTAACTGGAATGTGAAATAGCTCCCCTTCCTAAATTGCTAAGCATACTATATTGCTCACTTACCTAAAAAGTAAACATATTGTTAGTTTATTCAAGAAAGCTTTAAATTCCATGGGGCAGGTGCAAAGTATCTCTGAACCTGAACCTGAACCTGACTGTACCAGCCAGGAAAAGTCTTCCCCTTGAGTCATGGCTGTGTTATCCCTCTCTAATAAGAGCCAGCACTGCAAGTTGATAAAGTGGGCAATTCTACCCAAGCAGAATCTCTTCAATCATTTTGGATTGCCAGTTCCCTGGAATGCAGCCATTTGCTGGCAGGAAAAGGATGGGGGAAGATTTCAGATTGGTTTGGGACTTAGTTGCTAGTGGATGCTGGAAGTGTTCCAAGTTTCTGGAAGCTGATCTAGTTGAGTATTGGAGAGCTCCATGCATCTTCATGTTCTCCACTTACATGATTTCCTTCCCTATAAGCAGATGGTAGCAAAGGCAAAAATCTCTTGTTCCCCCTCCTGCAAAGCTAAGTGACTCTACATAGGCTGCCCCATATTGTCTACTACCTGGAGAAAGTAAGTAAGAAGGCAATGCTTTGCTTAGTTGCAAGTGGGCACGTTGTGATGCATGATCGTGGTACAGGAATAGGCCAATTGCTCTGTTTTTCACAGCTAGGTTTTTGAAGAGAAGCAAAATTTTGGTTGCCTGTTTCCTGGTTTCTTGCTGGATAAAGCAGCAAAGGTACGCAGCACCAAAGGCTGTGTGTGCAGACAAGACAATCAGAACCATGGATTTTGTGGGGAATCAAATGAGATGCCCTTGGGGGAATATTTGATTATCTGGTCATTATTTGCCCTAACTTACATGAACCAGAAGAGAGTGGATGTGTTCAAAAGTATAGTTTGCAAAAGAAATAAGTGAATGATAT